AGATAGTAGAAGAAGAGATAATAAAAGAGATAGTAATAGTTTTTTAAAGATATAATAAGTCGATAAGATCTAAAATAATAATATTATAAATTCTTCGATATAGAAGTCTTAGTAATAACGAAAGATTAATATTATTATATTAGTTTATTATATAAATTTAAATATTTTAATATTTTATCGAAAGTATCGAATTTAAGATAATATAAATAAAAGTAAATATAATTAAATATAAGCGTAAGCGATAATTATAATTAAGAGTATTTAGTTTATATTAGATTTAATTTCTAATAATATTAATTAATATATATAAAAGAATAAGATAGAGCTAAGCTTAAAAATCTTAAATTTATATATATAGTTAATTATAAATTTAGAATTACTACGCTCTTTAATTAGATCGACTAAGTTATCGCGAATAAATAAATTAGCGTTCGCAATTATTAAAAAATCTCTTACTCTACTCTTAACCCTTTAATAACTTTACTATTTTCTATTAAAACTTTAAGATTCTTTTTTTAAATTATAGAATAAAATATAGGCTTTTAGATAAAAAAAGAATTTCTAAATTTAGTCTTATAATTATTAAAGCGCAAGAAATTTTAATATCGCTTATCAAAGTTCGCTTACCAAAGTTCGCTTGATAGTCGAATAGCTCTGATCAAAAAATAATAGATATACGTTATTAATACATAGAATAACTTTTTTATTTTCTATTAAATTTTTAAGATTTTTTTTTTAAATTATAGAACGAAATATGGGCTTTTAGATAAAAAAAGAATTTCTAAATTAAGTCTTATAATTATTAAAGCGTAAGGAATTTAAATATCGCTTATTAAAGATCGCTTATTAAATTTACTCGATAGCTCTAATTAAAAAAAAATGATTCTAAATTTAATTTATAGATCTTTACTCGTATAATAATATTATAATACTTTTTATTTTCTAATAGCGCTATTAACTATAGATTTTAAAGTTTTATTAAATAATATTAAATAATATTAGCGAGAGCTTAGATTTAAATCTTATATAATATATTAATTTATAAAGCGAGATATTTCTTATTAGTTATAGTTTAAGAATAAATATCTATTAATTATAATCGTATAATTAAAAGTATTTAGTTCGTATTAGGTTCGATTTCTAATAGCGCTGGTATAATGATGTTGCGGTGCTTCGTATTTTCTGCAACACTACGACCACCTAAAAAAAGGGATTAGATAAGGTGGATACGCCTCCTATCCGGAAGACTTACCAGCACTGGACCTCATCATGCATAACTATGATATACCTTCGGACGATTAAGATACTACCGACGCCGAGGTTCAAGATACTACCAACGCCGACATCATGAAACGCTTTCTGCCTCAAAGGAAGCCGGTGCCGATTGGAGCCACACCTGGGGAAGCAAACCGGTCAACTGGAATTATGGCGACACCCTCCAGCTCGAACGCATAGCCCCCTAGCTTTGAACGATGGGTTTCTCGCTGACGGTAGCATAGACACTGGCGGCAGGCCAATAGCATAAGTCGCGGCTTTCACATGGTAACGATATTGAGCACGGATAAGATGACAGGTCAATGGCATACCCCTAATTCCACATGGTAGCGAGATTGCGAACAGATAGGATGACAGGTTCAATGAATACCTCGTGGTGAATTGAACCAATATGCACTTGACAGCACAAGAGTTCAGCTAATAAAATATTTTCCTCAGGCCCCATTTCCAAGGGAGCAAGTGAAATGTGTAGGATCACGTGCATACTTTGCCCACCCTGACCATGTGCGAGCTCTCACACCTATTTTGATCGCACTGTAGACCTTTTCTACTCTAGTGCGTCACGGCAAGTTATACAGTAGCGAGCAACGCGTCATATACACGTCTACGAAAACTTTCACTTCGCCTTCACTTCACTTTAGCCTTCTATCTTACATCAACAACGTCAACCATCATTTATCAACTTTTCACTTCGCCTTCACTTAACTTGAGCCTTCTGCCTTTCATTAACAACGTCAACCACAAATTACCTCCTCCCCTCTTTCATGTCTTTACAAAGCACATCAAGGATCATCTGCCAGGAAGAGGAGTCACACGAACGGATCGCTAGGAAAGGAGTGCTATGAGGATTGTTTCTCTTGTCGAGTATTAGGGCCAAGTTGACGTGGGTGATCCTCAGCACCAAACGATGACCAAGTCTATTGATTCCAATGACATTCGCTGACCAGGAGATACGTAGACTGCGAGATCACGATTATCACTCGACCCACGGCCTTGCAATCAGTGACGATATGCCAGACTAAATATATAACGAGTATTATCCTGATGACGATAACCCTGCCTATTACAATCTGACGGAGCTCTATAATAAGACCGCCACATGCGAGAAGGACTGGGACCCAGTAAAAGACACTATCAGTGATTGGCACCAAGCCAATGGCCTCTGGACGGTTGGTATGGGGTCTGCTGCAGCCAGGCATATGCAGAAGTCCGGTTCTACCGCTCAAAAGTCTTTGAAGTCTCGTTTCAATCCCTTGACCAGTTCAAGCAATATATCGAGACCCGAACATCACTCACACTCCAACATCCTCACCACGTCACGGCCGTCTTTTCTGGGGTTGCTCCTGCGCAAGCATGGAAAGCTGCAGTGAAAATTAACCTGCGAACCTTGGAACTCATCCTGACTCCAGCCTCTGTCTACCTACTTCCGAAAATGTACAGTAACTGTTCGATGCGCCTCCAGGGCGCTAGGAACCTATTTCTGCTCCGCGGTCTAGGTCTCGTCAACTTGACCTTTCAATGTCGCAGTGCTACGTGCCGAATTTATAGAAAGGCATACCCGGACCTGCCAGGCTTCAAGCGCAACCTCAAACTTCTTACCAGGCCCCTCTCTTTCCGACAAAAACTCATCCGTGAAAGGGTGCAGCGACCGGCTCAATCTAGACACATAACACGTGCGCGATTCAAGGCCTTGGAATCGAGGTAGAGATTCTATAAGGTATGTCAACTCCCCGCTACGCGTATTCAGTGCTAACGTCAGCTATAGCATCCTGTTCGCTCGCCCATGTTCTTCATCTCTGGACTCGTTACGCAGCATCCAAGTAGGGGTTCCCAGCCGCGATCTAACATACTGCCTTCCGATGCAGCGGAACAGGTGGTGGCCACTGGGAAATGCATCAGACCTATTGTGGAGAACTGATCAGACTTGTTTGATCACTGTGGGGCGCATGTTCATTAGGCTCCAGCACACGTAACCTAGATTCAATGGACAAGTCATCTCTCAACAACTCTTAATCACATTCTTGAAGCTGGATGCCGATGCTGCTGGTGCTCCATGCTACTCCAAATGCTTTCTTCTATCACATAAGTTCACTAATGCCTCGATCATAGTGTCGACAAGGCTAAGAACAAGGACGACGTCGTCTGTCGTCCAAGACCATTTGTTTCCATGCCCTTTGGACGGTAGCTCTGATGCTCTAAGAAGCCTTCGCGACCTTCCTGATGCATCGGTCAGACGCACCATTCCATGACAGTTTCGAGTCCATTTGAGAGTATCTGTACTCCTTCATAACCACTCGCATCAACGCCGGTTATGACATCCGAATCACGTACTTCGCAGAGGAGATAGAACATACTGCCATTCTCGCCTATAAGGTCCCTGACCAAAATGCCATGAGATCGTCCGCCAATAACTATTCCGGTGGTCCTTCCAAGTGCTTTTATTCAGCACGGAGTTCGGTATTGGCCGCTGCACGTTCGAACTTTGCAACTGTAAACACGTCTACTCCATATATCAGCAGTACTTGCCACCGCATGTCCTCGAGGTCACGACTCACTATCGCCTGCCCATATCTTGCCGCTCGGAAACCGAGTCACAACAGCAGCATGACTCCCTCGCCCTCCGCCAGCCTCGCTGGTACCGTTGAGGGTACGGTTGACGCTATCTTCGATAGCAGAAGGGTTCCCGTACACTCCATACTCACCCTATCTCCCTCTCAGCCGAGAGCACTTCCGTCACCGCTACTAAATGTTGACGCCGTGATCACAACGCCCCCAAAACCGCGGTTTCCATGACGGAAGGAAGAGATGCAGAATCTCGAGGAGATCATGACCTGGGTAAAGGGGGAAATTCAAATGAAGAAGAAGGATAAGGAGAATGAGGGACGCGCAGAACTCCTGAGCGAGGCATTAAGGGCTATCATTGAGGTACTGGTGGGCCCGGCAATTGCAAAGTCAAAAGCGCGGAGGCCCCAATATGAGCAGGCGAAAGTGTTGGTAATACCTGGGTATGCAGTTACTTATATAATAAGACCTATTATTAGATATGGTAGTCTTAATGATGTCTAAGGAAGAAGGATATCTATATATAGAAAAGGCCTTCATATACCAATGACTAGGCCGAATGAGTACTAGTGGTAGCGAGTGTTGAGTTACCGACACTGGTAAAAACCGAAAAAGATGAGGCTATTCGCATACTATCAAAATATTACTTCTTCGAATCCTTCTTCGCAATGCTCTCTATAGCTGCAATTACTTCTCTTACTGTAGTGGGCGTAGATCCGGTTATGATAAGCGTATTTCTAGTAGCGATAAGAGAAAGATGATCCCTTATTAATCGATATCTTGTCTTTCCACCCACCCTTCCAGATCTTGTCCTTTTCTCTCATTAATCGATATCTTATCTTTCTTTATTGCATCGGCTGGATTCTTATCTCCTTAAATTTATAAGATCTCGATAATCTTCCGTTAGAAAGGCCATGCCCTCATGGCCAAATCCCTGGACAGCTACATCAAGAATACAGGCCTGTAGCCTTCCGCTTCTCCGTATCACGAATGTAGCCGAGCGGAGAGGCGAGCTAAGAGGCGAGAAAATAAGTATACTGGGAGGCGAAAGGTGGAGTGAGAAAATAAGTACATCAAGAATGCACCGTCCCTCCATGCACCTATCCTTGGCCTGTAGCCTTTCGCTTCTCCGTATCACGAATATAGCCGAGCGGAGAGGCGAGCTAAGAGGCGAGAAAATGAGTATACTGGGAGGCGAAAGGTGGAGCGAGAAAATAAGTATGCTGGGAGGCGAAAAGTGAAGTGAGAAAATGAGTATGCTGGGAGGTGAAAGGTGGACCGAGATTTAAAGTATGCTGAGTTTGAGCGGTGCTGAGAGTAGGCTCTCTGAGAGTCGATATAGTGCGCGGACGTGAAACCGCAGAGAGTTGGCTCGTGTTGATAGGGCTGCTGCTTGTAATACTCTTCTTCGTAGTGCTCTTTAAAGAATCCTCTGTAACGGCCTGTTCCTTGATATCCTCTGCAACGGCCTGTTCCTTGATCTCGAAGTCTTGAATAACTTGGTAGGGTAAGGGTAGTAGGTGTGGGACTCGGTAATCTGGGCCGTAGTTTGTGGTGAAAGGGGGAAGAAGCGTAGTGGTATCCTCAGGCTGTTGTTGAGGCTGATGTGGAGGGCCGTCGCTTGGAGTGGGGGGAGGGTGGACTGGAGTGGTATCCTCGATAATTGGAGTGGGGGGAGGGTGGACTGGAGTGGTATTCTCTGGTTGATAAGGCGGTTGCGGGGGGAGAGGAACAGTGTTCTTCGGTCGATAAGGCTGATAAGGCTGCTGCGGGGGGAGAGGAAGTGGTTGTCCCAGAGGTTGCTGATAGTAATGAGATGGTTTTGGTGGGGGACGGTCTTCGTCGTCTGGTGGCCATAGGATCTCTTTCTTAATTACGTTCGCTAATTCTTTGGCCATTGAGAGTCCTCTTCCTTTCTTGATATAGGCTTCATTGGCCCGTAGGCAATCTCGTAGGGTGGTAATGACGTCCTTGTCAAGAACCTCGAAGTCCTCTCTGACGTATTGGGCAAAGTCGTCAGCAAAGACGTCAGAGAGTGTCGTAAATTTGTATCTTGTGTATTGTTGTACCCTTCAACGGACGAACTCCTGGAGCTCCTCTTTGGTGTCTGGTGGCTTGGCTCCTAGTAGTTCCTCTAACTCACGCTTGGTGCCTGGCGGTGTCTCTGAAGAATCAGGTTTCTTGTCCTTGGAGTCCATTTTGGGTGTGTGTGTTATGTGTTAAACTGGTGTGAAGCTTAATGGTGTTTGGTGTTTTCTGGGTGTTTTCTCTGCTGGGTAGAAGTCGTAGGAATTGTAGAAATTGTAGTTCTATTCAATCAACAATGAGCGGAATCGATTGAGTAACCATAGAACCGTGTGAAGCTATCGCGGCGATATCGAGGCGGACTTCCTTCAAGAGTATGGCCTTGCTAATCTGTGTACTAGTATTGAAGTACACTGATCAGTGTTGGTAAATACCTGGGTATGCAGTTACTGCTATAATGAGACTTATCACTAGATATGGTAGTCTTAATGATGTCTAAGGAAGAAGGATATCTATGTACAGGAACGGCCTTCATATACCAATGACTAGGCCGAATGAGTACTAGTGGTAGCGAGTGTTGAGTTACCGACAGAAAGCAAAGGAATCTGCTCGTTTCGATAAGCGCTGGGAGAGGGAGGTGGCAGATCTGAGGTACATAAGGCCCGACATCTAGAGTTGATGATAAAGTAGTTCGGCAATGCGCTTTTCCAGTGCATTGTTGCTACTTTCTCCGCCAGAACTGTGCACCATACATTTGGAGGTCTTGCCCGGATCCTGTGGCCTTACAAGTGATCGATTCGTTCGTTCGATCGTGATTCTGATGAAGCCTATTCCAGTACCATTCGTTGAGAACGTGGCTTTTTGGCTTGTTCCTGTAACTCAATTTTACACCACTTCTTCATGCCAATCCGAAGCCTGCTATAAAAACCCTCACGTCCCCCGTTCCAAGTCTTTATTCATATCCTGAAGTCTAGCACACGCCGTTCTTCTGCACTAGACGAACTCGTGGCACACTGCTCTCGAAGCTTTCCTCAGAGCCCTGCCATCTTCAAGCCATCCCACAGGCATCTCGTTACTACTCCACCACTGTATAGCTAGGTGGCCATTCTACAGCCGGTTAGTGCTCGCAAACAGTAAGGCCATACACAAAACAACGTATGCACAAGTAGATATATAGATAGATAATTAGGCATATCCAACACTGAGACAGCTAAGACCTTTTTGGACATATAAATAATCCAAAAAAGGCCCCTCAGCGCTAGAAAACTCCCATATCTAAGCGATATACCCTAGAGTGAAATGAGGCTATATATAGATATAAATAGATGAGAGAAAAATGATATAGCTCTAAAAGAGATGAAATCGAATAAAGAGCTATTAATAGATGTAAAATAGATGGTTATATAGCTTATACTAAATACTTATCTCTAATCCCTTATCGAGGTATTAATAGAGGTACTAATAAGGGTATTAATAGAATAACTAATTAAATAGCTATTAACGCTATAGTCTTATAATAAACTTACTAACTTATAGTCTTACTATTACGATTAATACTTATAAATAATAAGATTATATATAAAATAACGTATATATAAGTAGATATATAGATAGATAATTAGATATATTTAATACTAAGATAGCTAAGATCTTTTTAGATATATAAATAATTTAAAAAAGGCCCCTCAGCGCTAGAAAACTCTTAAATAATCTAAGACGTCATCTAAAGAGGGTAAAGATCTTAAGAAAAACTTTTAACGATATCTATTATAGTAAGTAATAGAGATCGATAGTATTAGCGCGAATAGGCTAAAAGATATTAATATCGTAGTAATACTCTAAGTATATAGATTAAGTAAATAATTATATATAGATAATAGAAATCTAACCTTTCATAATCTAGCAATTAAATCTCGTTATTATTAAAATTAAAATTATATATTAATATTATAATCTCTCTATAAAAGAAATAGTCTAAATAATAGCCCTCAACATTAAATAATATTAGTATCTCGCGAAGATTATTAATAACGATCTCTCTAGTAAAGAAGAAGTCCCTTAGCTAAAATAGCGATATATTAAATAAAGCTTTCTATCTAAAGAGATAATATAAAGCTTTAACTACGTATATATTATCGCTTAATATAATTATTATAAATATAATTCCACGACGAAATAAGTTCGTTTTAAATACTAAAAGTGTAAGTTTTAGATAATTATCGAATAGTCTTATCGAGCGATATATAAAAAACTATTCGCCGAAGTCCTTCTATTAAAGATCTCGCTTACTATAAGTAAACTTATCTACGCGTAGAAATATCGCGAAGATAAGATAAAAGAAGATATATAGAGTCGCCTTAGTATAAGTTAATCTATCGAAATAAGAAAGAATTTAAAGTAATAGATTTTTAATAATTAGATATCTTTCTTTTATATTAGCTTCGCTATAAAGATATTAACTATCTATAATAATATATTATAATTAAAAATAATAAAATATTAAGAGATTATTAAACCTTATATTTATATAGACTAATCTAAGATCGATAAGATATATCTTTATAGACTTCGACTTAACGCGGCGAGTGCTTAAGTTAATAATTTAGCCTATAAGAGTATTTATAGTTATTAAAAAGAGAGATTAAATCTCTATAAGTGCGTAATAGATCGTATAGAATCTTATTAAAGTTATATATATCTTTCTAATTTTAATAATAAGCTCTTACTAGAGAAGTTATACGATCTCTTAAGATAGTACGATCTAATTATACTAATATTCTAATAGATCTTACTCTATTTTAGCGGAGATATAAAATCTTTCAGCTATAAATATATATTAGTAATTTTTTGATATTAAAAATATAATAGATTATCGATTAGCTAATTAATCTTCGTAGATATTTAAATAAATATTATTATAATATTATAAGTAGTTATTAATATAGCTATATCGCGTAATAAAGTTATAGCTAACTCGTATATAGAGAATTTATATAATTTATTAACATATACGTTATTATCGTAGTAGAGAACTAAGCGAGATTCTTATAATTAATATAATTATAACTCTATCGCATAATAAATAGCCTTTATTTCTTTAAATTATATATCTTTAGAACGATAATATATAACTATTTTAATGCTAAAAACGTCTTTAAGCTAAATCGATTAAATATAATTAGAATAGTCGAGAATATAGCCTTCTATATCGAATATTCTAGATATATCGATCTATATATATTATATAACTCGACTATTAACGTAATATATTAAGATAACGCTATTCTAATAATTTAAAAAGATATTTCACTATAGTAAGTCTACTCTTATATCGCCTATAATTCGTATAATTATTATAGATCTTCGAAGAATATCAAAAAGTCGTCTTAAGAATACTCTTTCTAGAATTACGACTTTAATAGCGAAAGAGAGAAAGTTAATTATTAACTCGAGCTTCTAATATAAGATAATTACTTTTTTTAGAAGATTTTTAATTATAATTCTTATCTTAATTAGCTTATCTAAAAAGAGTCTTATCTTTATATAAATATTATTAAATTTAATTTCTAAAAACTTAATTATAAAACTTATAATATTCTTTATATAATTAATTTAAAAATTTAATTTATTATATAGTTAATCGAATTACTAGATATATATAGTTATATTATTATCTAATAAAAGAATTATAAAGAAATCATTTAAATAGTAAAGTATTACTTTCTATAGAAGAATCGCGATTAAGATTTAAATAAGAATCTTTATAAAGAGATTAAATAGAAATGATAATATACGTAATTTAAATAATAGATATCGTTCTTTTTAATAGCGTCTATCGCAATTAAAATTAAGTAGTTATTAATTTAATATAGCGATAGATATATATCTAAAGATATTTTTAAGGTCTCTTTTAACGAATTAGATCTCTAGGTCTTTCTATAGTAGTACTATTACTACGTTATTATATATAATATATTTTAATACGCCTTACTTCGTCTAAATATCGTTATTAACTAAGTAGTTATATAAGAATAAGAGATTATAAATTTATCTTTAATCTTTATTATATTTCGATATTAAATCGAGTGACGAATAGATATAATAGAACTTATTCTAAGAATTAACCTCGATTAGACGATATTATTAAAGCTATTTTTAAAGATCTATCGATAATATTTAAGGTGCTTAATATATTAATAAATAATTTTAGCTGCGATAGGCTAAGATATAGTTTTAAAAATCTATCTTAGCGCCCTTTTAAAGAATAGCTAAAATAATCTTAATAAATATTAGATTTAAGTAATTATTTAATTATTTAAATTAATTATTAACTATTAATAATTTCTAATAAAATAAATCTAGATTTAATAGATCATATAGCGCGTATAAGAATCTCTTAGATATATACTATAGCGATTAGAGTATTTATAAATATCTTAAAAGTTATTCTATCTTAATAATATAATTATTTAATAATAAATAATTAAAACTACTTATAGCTAGATTTAAGATCTTAAAATACTTATTTAATAAATAATTTTATTAATAGATTATATAGATATATAAATAAATATAGCGCTCGCGAAAATAGCTACCTCTATTAAAATTCTTATAAATTCTAGTTTTTTTGATAATAATCTTACTAGAGCTAGGCGTATTAAGATTTAGCTTATTATTATTTATATAAGTCTTTTTAAATATAAGAAAATCTCTATAGCTTTAATTATTTATTTTTTAGATCTTAGAATTATCTTAATTACTCTAAATATATATAATAATAAAGATAAGATAATAAGCGAGAATAAAGTTAAATCTATAAATAATAGATAATCGTAGTAAGCGAATAGTATATATATATAGAGTCTTATTTAAGTCTTTCTTTACGCTAACGTATATAAAGTAGCCAGCGATTATCGAGTATATATAAAAGTAATATATTATATAATTATAGCTATTAATATTCTTATTCTTCTTAGCTAGAGTAATATATATATAAGCTAATTTAGCGAAATTTTTAATTTTAAAAATCTTAAAGAAGATTTATTTAAAGTACTTAATATTTATACTTTAGAATCTTTTAATAATATTAAAAAAGGGCTTCTTATCTTTTATATAACGAAAGAGAACCTTTCTTCTTTTTTCTTAATTCGATTTAGAGTTAAATAAATCTGAATTCGATATATTCGAGTAATAATAATAATAATTACGACTATAGCGGCGGTAATAGCGATATAATTTATATATCCTATCCTCGTAAGAATAGCGATTATTTCGCTTCTCTTAGATCTTAAATAGCTAGGCTATTAATTCTTAAAGATCTACTTTAATAATAGATAAAGACGTTTTATTTACCTAGTTCGAGCTTATAATACTCGATAACGTATTATATATAAGAATATTCTTATAAGGGGAAAATATTTTAGCCTTAGTAGCTTTAAGAGCCTTTTTAATCTTAAGGGTCTTATTAATCTTATTAGCTACGTTAAAGATCTTTTTAATAATTTTAAAGGCGGGGGTAATACGTTTAACCGCTTTTTTAGACCTGGTAATAGCGGCGGGGGCTATTACGAAGTATATAAGAGTATAAAGTATATTTATAGTAGTTGGATAGTGCTTATAATAGTTGAATAAAGGCTAATTTATATAGACTCAATTATGAAAGAAGAAGAAAAATAATATAGCTCTAAAAGAGACGAAATCGAATAAAGAGCCGTTGACAGATGCAAAACAGGTGGCTATATAGCTCGTACTGGATATCTATCCCCAACCCCTTGCCGAGGTATTAACAGGGGTACCAACAAGGGTACCAACAGGGGCGAACGGCTGATCAAACAGCCACCAACGCTATGGCCTCATAATGGACCCACTAACCCACAGTCCCACTGTTGCGAAAAGAACCAAACATCGCCTTATGTCCTTGCATGAATGCTGGTGTAGCACGTACACGTCCACCCCATGGAGCTGTAGCTGTCGCCCCTGGTGTAGCTGTAGCCCATGATGTAGCCCCTCCACGTTCACCCCGCCGTCCGGCCGGCTGCTGTAGAGGCCGTGCAACCCTCGGCGCAGTGTCAGTACCAGCAGCCTCGTCTGGTCCAGCATCATCGCCTCGTGTAGCCCCAAAGAATGCGTCCGCTGTAGCAATTTCCTCCTCTTCAGCTACCTGGCTTACTGTAATGGCTAGCTGTCGTTGTCGCTAGGCCTCTCTTGCCAGCTCATGGTGCCCGTGGTGACTTCAATCGATGCTGGACAGGAAGATGAAGGAAGAGAAAGGAGCCAAATGAGGAGTTGGCTTGGTGACGAGTGAGTAGTTGAACGGTGTAGGAAGAACGTAGAAGGAGAACGATCATCATCTAAATCTTCTAGGTCTTGTCTGGTAGCCCCCAACACTCCACCGTCAGATCCGGGCGTATCTGATGATCTTTTTTGGGCCCATAGTCGATGGAAGGAGTGGATCCGGCTGTTGGAGGTCTGCCATTAAGTGGAGCTCCAAAGGTCTGAGATTCTCACTGTGTGACTGCAGGCAATCTCGTTCGCTCTGAGGGGGCATAGAGAGCATTGCCAGTATGCTTCTTTAGTGCCATTGACGATGCTGAAGGCCAATTGATTGGGCGGTTGTGAATGGGATATTGGGAAGAGGTCTTAGTGGGTAGGGACGCTCAGATTTGACGAAAATTGGACACAAGGATGCTACCTGCACAGTCGACTTGATCTCATGTATGCATATGAGTGGGCGTGGCTCCATTGGCCGTGGACGGCTGCTTGAATGCTTTCGCTAGCAAACATAAAGTAGCTTGGTGTTGGAGACCTAGAGCGCGCTCGGACCACAGGCTTCGGGGCTCTAGAAGCTTTATTAGTGGAGGCGTCCGGACGTGCTTGGGGAGAGACACCACCAGTGTTCCTTGGTGATTCACAGTCAGCCTGCGTTCGGTATTTATTTTAAACGATCAGAGGGTAGTCTACTTACTTGGTCGTTGTTGAAAGATCCCAGATCTGATGATAAATTTGTCTTTGAATTTTGGATCACGCTATATCCAAAACGAAGCCAGCTCCTTTTGAGCGCAAGAAATCTCTGCTTGTGTCACCGGGAGTCTTATATCGTCGCGGAAATCGCAGGCGAAGATGTGATGGATTTCATCAGATCGACCTTTAATAGATGATGATATTAACATAGAGACTGAAACTATGATTTTCGCGTGCAGATTTTTCAAAAGCAAGCTCCGCACGTGATGGGGATTCGCAGGGCCGGAAGGTCTGTATTGTATGCCTTTGATCCAAATGAAAGCCCTTGAATTCCCCGACTCGGGCTTCGGGTCGTGTATCTATCAATCGTGCCCTACCCGATACACAGTGATACCGTCTTCAGCATAATATGAACCGTCGAGGTACCGTCCCGTCAAGCAGGTCCTTCCAAGTTATAGGCTTTACTACGGCATCAGTAGCATAATAAGAGGCCAAGGCATATGAAGGCACGACAGAGATGACTTTGTCAATTCTTGAGCTTCACTGTCTTTCTATGCTATCGTTCCTACATGATAGATTGCTATTTGAGCCAAGTTCGACAGCTTTTTGCAGTTCTCCTTCCTCACGCCGATAGTGTGATTGAAATATGAACTATTGAAGTCCCCATCTTCAATCGAACTCAGTGAGATCCATCGTTTGGGATAGGGAGCGCTTTTGCTCAGCCTGAGAGTCCTTATTCATCTTCATAATCTTCTGCTGCGGATGCAACCCCATATCCGCGGCTCTTTTCAGCCCAAGAACCGGTTTCTGTTCGATCTGCAATTTCATGTCTTGGAGTCGGGCTAACTCCGTTGTCGCATCTACATAGATGGCTCTGAGCTGTACTATGTCCTTCGGTGAGGTGCGACCACTGCGTTGACCGGAATTGAATGCTTGTTAGTATATTCGTTGTAGGTTTGAGATAGCTTTATCGAGCGTGCTTTCCCTGTCTGTTGAGGTCGCGCGACTGATAGTATCAGTAACCACTGTAGATAATGCAGTCTTAATAGCGTTTGCGGCGTGACGAAGCATAGTCGGTGCCTCTTTCGCTAAAAAGCTTTCGAGTTTTCCTCGCACGATCTCAGTGACTCGACCTGGATCTTTCTCCCCTCGGGATTGGGTGGCCTTCCGATCCGCGAAATAGAGCTGGATTTTATCGTAGAATTGGCTCATGTAGCTTTTGATACCGGATTGAATGATTTCTTGAGGTAAGCGTGCGGCTTCCCCAATGAGAGCCTTGAATAAACTGTCGATGTGGAGGATGCACCGCTCCTGTTCACGTTTGTTGGCCGTGTAACATAGTTGGAGTACCTGGTTGTTGCGGGTCTTAGGGGTAGTACACGTATTCTGAACGTTCTGATGGAGCTGTGAGAAGGAGTCTTTGATGCATTTGACGATATGGTTGCGAGCAATGTAGACCTGTTTCCTCAAATCACGCTCGGAAATCCTTCGGTGACCTCTCTAATATGAGCTCCCCTGTAGATGTCAATGGCAGATCAACCTCGCCTGATGCGCGGCACTCACAGATCAGTATTGAGATTCTACGCTTGAGAAGTCTTTTTCTTGCGTTTCGCCAGGTGGACTCCGCGATGCCTAAGGGTTGCGCGAAGAGTTGCCGAATTTAGATCTTGTAATTCTTCGACCTTGAGCTGGAGGGGTTTGACGATATACTCTGGGTCCAACAGTATAACATCATCCTTCCGTTTTGCTTTCCGGACCCCCAGTAACGTATCTTTGATACCCTTATCTACCCGCTGTCAGCTTCCGTTCGTTGCTAGATAAAGTTCTTTTATCATACGCGGAGTCATTGATACCCTGAAGGGTCTTTTCAAGCTCTTCCGTACGTATAGTGAGCTCCTTCCGTATTGACTGCAACTATATTTAGTCGATACATCGGCCGATAGATCAAGGTTAGACCCACTTTATATATAGTGGCGCAGAACGTTATGCCATTCGAAGCCCACCAGTCCCCTTTCACCAGCTCCTGATCATATGAGCTCATGATTTGGAGTCTGAGAAGGTTCTCTTTTGTTCCGTTGAACCAGCTCTTCTCATGCGCCGCTGCCGTCTCGTTCACCAATTGCGCGAAAAAACGTTCCTGTGTCACCAAGCCCGTGGACTCCCTATCTGGCCACACGTGATAGCGCTCATCCATATCCTTCCGAGAGTCTCTAGCCAGCATGGCTATTGCAGCCGGACCGCATACACCAACTAGAGTGGTTAACTCTCTAGCTAAATCTCCGAGTGCTGCTGGCTGGAATTTCTCGGAGTCGAAGTCATTGTCTCCGCGAGCCTGAGACCGTGTTAACGCTTGCTCGGCCATCTTATCCGCAACCTTGTCGACTATCTTGGAACGTATTGCAGCCACTTTCGCGTCCATCCGAAATCTATGCATTTCTCATTTCAGTCGTTGAATCTCCTTTTTCACTAGATCTGAAGACTCAGATAGGACTAATATCTCCTTCAATGAGGCAGAGAGTTGCTTCATCTTATCCGCGACAACCCTGCTGTCAAGTCGATTATTTTGGTCTATGTCCTCGATGGTGTTCGTATCGAATATAACAGGTGAACCATCCGCCCATCCCTGGTTTTGGATTTGCGACCACCAGGATGGCTCCTTGACGGGACCCTCTATCGCAATAATTAGGAGTTCTGAGTAAGCTTGGCATGCGCGTTGAATTCGTTGAGACTTTGCTTCCTGGATCTTTTCTTGCTCATATAGCTGGGCTAGCTCTGTCTCTACGATGGCGAGATCGGAACTCAAGGACGCGTAGGTCTGATTGCCTGCAACATGTCTCTCGGCCTCCATTTTAAGACCCTTGTCGATTTGGGTAAGAACTACCGTGAACCTGTGACTTTTTAGCAGCAAATTTGAAATGCTGATGGACTACTTACCTGGAGTTGTTGCCGGTCATTTGGTTATCCCAAATAATGTCCCCAACACGATTCCATACGTCAGGACTATCAACCGCTCTATCACAGCTTGCCACATTCACTGGTGAGGTACGCCTGCGCATCCAACCCTTGGCAACATCGGCTCTCGCTACCTCTGTGTCCTAAAAGCAGGGCAATTGCTTTGTTCTAGGAGAGGGGGTTGAGGTACCATTGTTCCGGGAATGTCAACAACCACAAACCCTTGCTTCAAGATACTGCTGTTGACTTGCACACTAATCCCGTGAGTCAAAGTCATCTACATGAGCAGGGCCGCCAGCCAACTTACTGCATCTCCTTGGTTATTGGCCAAAGGACTACCGCGTCCTCATTCTCCAACTCCGCGCTTGCCCCGTATTTTTGAGCTTTCTCCGCGAATTCATCAGCCGTATGGCAGAAAAAACTCAACTCATCATCTCTAATATGTTTGTCAATGCCACATTCGACGTCGAGACGCGAGAGCTCCCTTTCCAATTCATCCGACGTGCGATCAAAGTCCTCCACCTTTAATTTCGGGTACTGCGCAGTGAGTCTAGATCGAGCCGTGGCTTGCTGGTCCGGTCTCCTTGCTGTACCCTTGTTCTTTGACCGAGAAACAATGTTCCAGTACTGCTTTTCTTTCTGCCGCGAATTCTGCCTCGTCGAGGAAGACCACGCGAACATCAATACCTTCCCCGCCCTTTCCCCGGATTATGATCAGGGATAGGTGTGCATGCATTAGAGTCCGAGGTTGGGAATCGTATGCTGGGGAACAGCGCGTTGAGTGTTGTGCCTATTGACCAACTTGTAAGCAGCGCCACGAAGTGGTCGACCAAGGCCTCACTCTTGCCATGGCCCGTTCCTCCAAAAAGGCCTACAATGGTTTTCGGGTGTGCGAGCTTCCAATAGAGATGTCAATTCAGCTGTAGCCGATAGTCAGTCACTCGCTGTGGAAACTACGCATCAGCATTGGCGCTCACTCAGCTCTGCCTCAAAGGCTGCCTGTACGGCGGCATCTCGGAGTCCCGCAGTCTTGGATTTCATTCCTTGTAATGCACATGACCATGGGGGCCGGGCGAGTTGGAGCAGTTTGATTGTCTCGCAGAGGCCTGCCATAGCTGACTCTGTAGTTGAGTGATGTTGATTAGTGGATTCTGGTGGGTGTTGTAAGTTGAAAACTAAAGTCATACAGATTGATTAGAACTAGCGCGGCTGCCCATTAGGCTGAAGTGAAGTGAAGTACGGTGAAGTGAAGTGAAGCAAAGTGAGCTCATTTGATACCTTATTGGCTACGCATAGTTCGTGGAAAATCTAGCATTTGCTTCAATGAGGAGTTACGACACTCAAACCTTTACAATCTAGATATCACGAAAATAAATAAACGAGTCTATTACGATAACTCGAGATTTCTATGATACAGTACGAATTTGGGTGTGTGGTGTGAAAAATCTCCGGTGCCAAGCATTCCACAGGTTTTTGAACACGCTAAATGCATGGCTGTGCATCATTTCCAACACCCTTGCCCGTTGTTGGAAATTTGTCAAGCGACGAAAGTCTCTGCGATATATAGGGCCGTAGGGCTGAGTAGTGTAAAATCAACACCCGTAAGAATAATGGTAGCAAGGATTCGTGTGGGTAGAAGAAGGATGTAGATTTCTATGGAAGGAAGGTTTCCTCAAGTACCCCTCCCTAATAAAGTAAGCTATGCTATGTCAGGCTAGCCTGCAGAAGGCTGCAGAAGGCTTCGGATCACGCCTTCCAACTCCCGTGACAGGACTTTAACAAGGTTGATCTTCGATAGGCATCATGGACATGTCCCGGCATGGTGGACGGGGGGGCCCTTTGATTCCGCTAATGCCTTCGATGAGGGAAATCTTCCTGGTGCTCTGGTCTGAAAACCCCGTATGAAATGATAGAAGGTGAGCAGCCGCTCAGGCAGCCTCATTGTCTCCGTTCATATCACCTTCGTTTTCGTCTTCGACTTTAGCTTTGACTTTGACCTTCTTGTTCGAACTCTCCTCATCATCATCCTCAAAATGGGCTAGAGGTATGAGCTGCGTTCTTAAGCTTGCGAACGCGCTTCTTCTTTTCAGTAGGAGTCGCAGCTCCGTCGTCGACGTTCTTGCGGCTACGCTTCTTGCTCGGAGTAATCTTAGCGCCTCCGGTAATGACGACGGCGGCGGAGGTTTTCAACAGTTCGCTGAACATCATGGCGGATGACTGGGTGGTGCGACTCGTTGGGACCGCGACGTCAGCCGATTTGAGATTTTTATACTGGCATCGGCGCCGCTTTTCCATCTTAACGTTAGCTGGTTGTTCCCTCAGTTGCCTTTCCATGACACTTGGAGCTTCCTAAACTCTATCCTCGACAGGCATTGACTTTACAGCGTTCTCGAAGTTGCTGGGATCGATGACTAGTGGGGTGTGATGCACGTGCTTCAGGTATTGAAGATGAGCTTCAATAATATACGTTCTCGTGTCTGTTTTGTTGGTGTCTGGTGAAACCCATCGAGCATTTTTAGTGAACATTGCTGCGGTTTCGACATTAACGTCCGGCATTTCCATTGCTTGATCTGCTTGTGTAGCCTGTCGCAAACATAAGTACTGATCAAGGGCCACAGGCTTGTTTGACTTATTGCTCGGGCCAGAAGATCCAGAGAATCAGTAAAATCCCTGGTTTCTTCGTCGAATCGTAACTGGTATTTCCATTTGTTCGTACCTTCTTCTGCTGAGCCATGGTTGCCATTGGCCCAGCGACTATTGAGACTGGCCTTGAAAAAGGAGGATTGTAAGCCAAGGACCACACCATGAACGGCGAAGCGATCTCCGTGCTTGTGTACTTTTATATATATGAGAGCACTTGAGGGATCAAACTATTGTGTATCTGAGCTCGGCCATGGTGCTCTCATATAGGCAATCGGCTCCGCCATTGCGATTTGAGTATCCGCGGGCAATTCCTCCCAAGCGGCTGCTCATGTTCTAGTGGTATGTGGATCCTTGCTACCTGGGACAGCACGCTTCGCCACTCTCTCAAGGCTTTGATAATTGCTCCACTCCAAACCCTTTGAATTCCCATTCTTGGCGACGCAGCTCTCAAAATGGTAGTGGACTCACTGTCACTTGATGAACTGCGAATCGCATATTGGGCAATGGAAAAGGCCGCGGTGGAACCTTTTCACTGAGAGGTATCTCGGGATCGGCCTTCTTTCTAGTTTCCCAATCGTCCCATATGGGTGCTCCAACAGGGAAGTTGATTCTTGCTCGCTTTGGTGTCTTTGTATCTGGCGATACTGTTTCCGTCGAGATCGGGTCTTCTATCCTCGCTTTTATTCGAGCCTTGCCCAAGGTTCTCAAAAATGGCGCCCAGTCCATTCCCTTTTTGGAAAAATTTCGTCGTGTATGAGAGTTTTAGGTGGGTGAGGTGGCGATCACGGATGCCACCAGTGTTGACCTTGGCGGCAGAATCCTTTGACTTCTTGGCAGGACGACCGGCTATACAGCAAATTAGCTTTGGTGGAGATCTCAGGCTCGTAGGGAGATTCTACCTTTGATGCCAGCAGCTCTACATATACATATACTTCTTCCCTCCTCGTCGCACAATGCTATCACGCAGGGGGTTTAAATTTAAACCGTGCCTGCAGCCTTTCTCAATACGGCATTGATATGGTCTTTGCCGTTGTCGAGGCTCTTTCTGGCGTTGCGAAATCATCCTTTCGATCGGCTCGATATCTAGCCTGCATAATTCATCCGCGAGATCGCTTTGAAATTTCAAATCTTTAAAGACTTCAAGCGGAATGGAGACAGTATGAGCTGGGAAGCGGGAGTGAGAGTTTTATCGGAAGCTATAACTGCTTCCGCTATTGGCGAGGTCTCAAAATACTCGAAGATGACGGACTCATTTTCTCGCGTAGTTAAGAACGCCGTTCTGGGCTCTGATCTGTATTGGGAGAACAACAGATTTGTCTGTCGGCCTGTTAAGCACAAATCTTTGTGGCACTATATTGCGGCACTTACCACTTTCATAAATATTTGCAATGATGATCTTTTTTGCATCTAATGATGGCGTTGAGATTAGATTGGCGTAGTGGTCGAGAAAAGATTCGACGTCGACCTGACGGCAGTGGGACTTGAGCTGCGTTGAAAGGAGCTCGTCAAGATCTCGTTCAGCAGTGCATAAGAGCTGAGGGTCCTACGGATAGCAACGACACCGACAGCAACGAGTAGTGGGGCTGTGATGTGGGACTAAAGAGTCAGTGGTCTTGGTAATGCAGCCTTGAGCTTCCTAGTGGAACATTGTTGGAATCGCGAGTCGGCCACCCAGTTGCCGGGTGTTTTCGCTGGCACTTGGCGCAAGCGTGAACGAAAGCACATGTGTCAGAGCTATTATCCATATGGATCAGTTTTTTAGCTGTGACGGAGTTGGGCTGAAGGAGGACTTGGTAGGAGGGACCATGGGAACTCTAGCGCCCTCGGCTCCGGGCCGAAGCGTTATTACCGTTGAGGGCAATATTGCGACCAAGGGCTAAATTTTGGTGTATTAGCTAGTGTGCCCCTCTTTTACACTTGATAGAAGTTACTCGTTTTAGATAGTAGAAATATAAGCATATATTACATAAATTTACTAGCCGAAAAGATATAATATATTTTATAAAATATTTCATATTAAGTAATATTATATCGTACTCGAATATAATATAAATAGAGTCGAATATTATTTCATTTTTCTAATATAAATTCGAGATCTTAATGAGATATTTTATAGTATAATATATCTATAGTATTATATTATAATATAATATATATATGAGATATTTCGATTAAGATTTCTATATTTAAAAGTATAAGTAGCTATTCTAGTTATTATTCTAGTTAATTATAACTATTACTATTATAACTATTACTATTATAACTATCTATTATAACTATCTCTATTATAACTACTTCTATTATCGCTATTACTATTATAACTATTACTATTATAGCTACTATATAATAGTAGACTATTTTAATAATAAATAGTAATAGTTATAATAGTAATAGCCATAGTAGTAATAGCTGTTAAAATGTTAGGTATGTGATATATAGGGCGAATGAATCAATTCTCTAAAACCTCTCCGGGGCCAGGTTCTAAATATAGTACAAAATCAGGTGGCTGGAAAACATGGTGGCTGGGATGCGCGGGGGCCACATTTCGATGGTAGGCATAGTAGTGGTAGCCATGATAGGGGTAGCCATGGTAGGGGCAGCCATGGTAGGTAGCCATGGTAGGGGCAGCCATGGTAGGGGCAGCCATGGTAGGTAGCCATGGTAGGGGTAGCCATGGTAGGGGCAGCCATGGTAGGTAGCCATGGTAGGAGCAGCCATGGTAGTGCCAGCCATGGTAGTGCCAGCCATGATAGGGCCAGCCATGGTAGTGCCAGCTATGGTTGGCCAGAATAATAACTAGAATAGCTACTTATACTTCTAAATATAGAAATCTCAATCGGGATATCTCATACATATATCATTTCATAATATAATATCATAGATATATTATACCGTAATATATTTCGTTAAGATTTCATATTATATTAGATATGAAATTATATAAATATTAATATTTTATATTATATTAGAGTATAATATAGTAGATTAATATTTTATATTATATTATATCTTTTCGACTAGTAATAATAAGATAAGTATTTAAAAGTTTTAAGAGAGTAAATCTCGAAATATTAGTATATATAATAGAATAAGATAGAGCTAAGCTTGAAAATCTTAAATTTATATATATAGTTAATTATAAATTTAGAGTTACTACGCTTTTTAATTAGATCGACTAAATTATCGCGAGTAAATAAATTAGCGTCTATAACTATTAAAAAAAAATCGCTTATCAAAGTAGCCGGATAGCTCTAATTAAAAAATAGGTATATATTATTTAACTTTAGAATAAGTTTTTTATTTTCTATTAAAATTTTAGAATTTTTTTTTTAAATTATAGAATAAAATGTAGGCTTTCAGATAAAAAAAGAATCTCTAAGTTTAGTCTTATAATTATTAAAGCGTAAGGAATTCAAATATCGCTTACTAAAGTTCGCTTATCAAAGATCGCTCGACAGCCGGATAGCCCTGATTAAAAAATAGATATATATTATTTGATTTTAGAATAACTTTTTTATTTTCTATTAAAATTTTAAGATTTTTTTTTTAAATTATAGAACGAAATATGGGCTTTCAGATAAATAAATAATTTATAAATTTAGTCTTATGATTATTAAAGTACAAGAAATTCAAATATCGCTTATTAAAGATCGCTCATCTATTTACTCGATAGCTCTAATTAAAAAAATAATTATGAATTTAATTCATAGACCTTTACTCGTAGAGTATATTATTTTTAAAATCGTAGATCTTTCGAGAAAGAATTCTCGAAATATTATAATTTTTATACTATCTATCTTCGAAGCTCGAGAATAAATTTTTTAAAGAGAGAGATATTATTAGTAGTTAATTCTATAAAGGCTTTACGACGTTCTTATAGAGACTTTATAAAGCTCTATTTAAATTTAAATAGAGATATCTAGCTATTAAGCGTAGATACTCTCGAAATTAAACTTTTTTAACTAAGTTACTAATAATAGTTTAAGAAAGAAATCTTAAAAATTTAATAGAAAATAAAAAAGTTATTCTATATATTAATAACGTATATCTATTATTTTTTAATAATTATAAACGTTAATTTATTTATTCGCGATAACTTAGTTAATTTAATTAAAAAGCGTAGAAAACTCGAATTTATAATTAATTATATATATAAATTTAAGATTTTCTAACTTAACTCTATCTTATTTTATTATATATATTAATATTATTATAATAACGTTATAAGAGAAAAATTTATTACGATAATTATAGCTAATTAAGTCTTTAAAAAAGAAATATTAAATAATATATATTTAGATAAATTAAAATTATTCGATATCTTACTCTAATAATTATTTTATTATTTAAAAGATTTTACTATAATAGAAGATATTATAAATTTTATATTATTAATTAATATATTATCTCTATTAATATATATAAAAGAATAAGATAGAGCTAAGCTTAAAAATCTTAAATTTATATATATAGTTAATTATAAATTTAGAGTTACTACGCTCTTTAATTAGATTAACTAAATTATCGCGAGTAAATAAATTAGCGTTCGCAATTATTAAACGTTCGTAACTATTAAAAAAATAGATATTCGTTATTAACATATAGAATAACTTTTTTATTTTCTATTAAAATTTTAAGATTTTTTTTTAAATTATAGAACGAAATGTAAACTTTTAGATAAAAAAAGAATTTTTAAATTTAATCTTATAATTATTAAAGCGTAAGGAATTCAAATATCGCTTATTAAAGTTTACTTATTAAAGATCGCTTCTCGATAATCTTAATTGAAAAAATAATTATAAATTTAATTTATAGGCCTTTACTCGTTTCTTTTTAATATCTTAATACTTCTTATTATAAGAATATAGTCTTTCTCTATTTTTTATAAATAATTATTATAAATTAATTATATAATTATATTTAATATATCTTTTTAATCGATCTTAGCGCGTTTTATATATATATATATATCTATAGATTATTAGTATATATAATAGAATAAGATAGAGCTAAGCTTAAAAACCTTGAATTTGTATATGTAGCCAATTATCAATTTAGGGTTACTACGCTCTTTGGTTAGACCGGCTGAGT